AACCGCTCTGATTGGAACCGTCAATAATGAAAGAATTAATTCCATTGGAGAAGCCCAGAAAGAGGCGCTCTGATTGGAAACGCCAAGAAGAAGGAAATTCGTAAAGACCACGCGGTGGCCGAGAATGCTTTTAAGAAAGAAGTTGGCAAGGCGCACCAGAGTCTTCTCACAAGAAAAGCTGGCAAGGCTTCTTCTCCAAAGGAACGCTAAATAATAAGGATGTAGGCATACACAGTAAAGGCCAATTAAGAGGCAAAGCCTAGTCATATACAACTCATAACATGTGCAAGATAAGTGCAAATCAAATCATACACTCGCGGCAGTACAAGACAAGGAAAAGGGAATAAGAAAACATTGGTGTATGGTAATATTCGAATATTTTGCGTAGTGAAGCTTACCGATTTCACAGAATTGTGTTTATGACTCGGCGCGCAAATGTTTCTAACTAAGCACAGGTATCTTTACCTCTCCCACTTTGTATACCGCTTAAAACTATTGTAATCCGTAATAAATACAAAACTCAAAAAATGAAGGCATTCAAACATCAACTAAAAATCAATATAATACAACTAATGCAATTATCGCAATAAACTACAACAAATACCAAAGCTATTTATTATTGAATACATGCACTATCCTGTCCACTTGCCCGCAATCCTCCCATCAACCATCTGGGAGTTTACACCTAACTTTAGATATTTGGACCTCCTCGCCCGGCATTCTATTTGTAGACAAATAATATAACATATGGTGGCCAAACACAATTTTTGTTGAAAAACTTAATTTATTTTCTACATTTCTGATATTATGTTAAACTTCTAGTATCATTTACCATACAAGAAAAACAAAATGTAAATTATATACGTAATCACATATCCCATAAAAAAATGTGTTTAACAAATACAAATTTGGCAATATGAATATAGAAATTTCGGAAAAAGAATAATTGATAAATATGAACTAAAGGTTATCAATGTAGTTAAAAGAAATAACCAATACTAATTACAAGATTAAGATACAATGGTTAATATCAATAAAATCAAGCAAATTTTGAATTTTGCAATTCCATAATTCAAAAATTCGAAATGAAAAAATATACTAAATATCAAGTAATTTTTTAAACTGAATTATATATATATATATATATATATATATATATATATATATATAATACTTTATTTTTTAAACACGAAAATTAAACCTGGCAAAGAATCAACTAAAGACATGAAATACAATAGTTAATAAAAATAAAACCAGACATACATATAAGATTAAAAACTAGATTTAATTACTTTAGGAGTTATACAAGAATTGCTTTAACAAATTAAGATATCTTGTTTTTGGTCAAAGAATTGGAATACAATAATCTTTTTGACGAAGAATTATAAATTTATTTGATATATGTATTGTTTAATACATATATTCATATACAATTGTTCGAAAATTTAATGTTTATTTTATGGCTCGAACTGCCAATTCAATAGTTCAGCGGGTTAATCTCCCGCCATAGCGATTAGGAAGAAAGAAGGCACAAGTGGAAGGGCTGAAAAGTATAATGTAATGTATTTTGAGTTCAATTATTGTTTATTTTGGTTATGAATTATAATAATATTGTAGCGTTGTTGGTTGCTTCAATTAAGATAGAGAATTATTCGTAGAGAATACAAACACGATTTTATAGGGGCTGATTAGGTTTTTAGAAAGTAATTGTTATGTAATTCGACCGTACTCCAACGGAGAGTGGGAATTTTGAGTGTTAGTCACACACATGAAGATTGAATCAGAGTTAGTCCTTTCAGGTGCGGAAAGGACTTGTCATCGACCTAGAATGGCTGAACTCGAGCCTCGATAATGTAAGTGTATTTCTATTTATAAGTGTATATTCTACATGTAGAAGGTGGTTTTTACGGTCTCAACCCTGTGTGGCCGTTGAGAGCGTATTGTGTGGGTTTGTGAATATTACGCGCAGCTTGATTGGAGCGAGAGTAACTAAATTTGTACAATTAATAGAGAGGAGGTACCTTATGAACTACCGTACTAGCCCACCGGTTTGGAGGTGTGTTTAGCGCACGTTATTGATTACGATCCAAATGTCTTCACTGATCGATTGCTACCCTGGTTGCAATATATTCTTATAATGTTGCACGTTTGCCTTTTAGATTGAAGTTTGTGCTAGTGCAAGTGATACTAATGTGTGAAATGCACTAACTAATAATAACAAATCAATGAACGAGGTGTAGAATTAGAATGAGCCATAACTGAGTTGATAATAAAAACACTGAGAGCCAGGTGTGTGGCGACTGAGTGGATGTTGGAACAGTGGTTCGGTGTGTAACGGGCTGCTCTTAAATATTCGCGGTGTAGCTTGCGATGCCAGCAACAGCGCCGTAGCCTGTTGCTATGCTGAAAATCGTTGTGACGTCAGAGAGAGAAGCTTTGGAATATTCTAGAAGGTTCATCGACGTTGCTATGCGGAAATATTGTCGTATATTAGATGTTACGGTGTAGGGACATTCCTGGAATCGCTGAATCGTATTTACAAACAAGCGTTTGTAACTCTCCCAATTTTGAATTTGAATTAAGCTACTTCAATCCCGAATAACAGTAATAGTTTGTTTATTAATTATGCAAGTAGAAAAACATTTTTTCAACTAAAGAAATTGCCTTTTATTTTATAAAATGAATTTGAATATATTTGTCTAAAAATAGAGTACCGGGCGAGGAGGGCCAAATATCTAAAGTTAGGTGTGAGCTCCCAGGTGTCGATAGGAGGATTGCAGGCTAGTGGACAAGATAGTATGTTCAATAAAGAGTAGTTTTATTATTTAGTTATGTTTTATTGCTAAGATTGCACTAGTTGTATTATAATGAATTTTAATGATGTTTGAGTACTTCCGTTTCTTGATTTTGTATTTGTTATTGCAACTGAGCGATCACGTGCGTTGCATGTACAGGAAGAAGTTGACGCCTTGCTGGTCCTCTATATGTAATACGCGTGTTGATGGAATAATACACGCAGGTTTGCTGGTAGCTTTACGTATCTGCAGATTGGCGCGTATGGCTTGTTATAGTTATGTAATAATTAGGAATGGAACTTTACGTCTTAGTTCTGCACGTTGTGTTTAGCTATGTTTCGTATTGTTTCTTGAATTTGCCTCGAGCGGCTCCTTGAAGTTATGATTGTGTATACTATGCGAACTGATATTCTTAGTTCTCGTTACCCTTTTTTACTTCTAATTGTGTATGTTTAATTATATAACGCTTGCGAATAGAATAACCTTGCGTGATTAGCTGTTCTTGGATTTTCTGATTGCTTGAATGCGTGGACTTGACTTTTTCTTTTTCGATAAGATAAGTGTTTATCTTTTTAAGGACTTCTCTCGGCCACGCGATGGTAGACGAGAATTCCCTCCTTTTTGGCGTCTCTAATCAGAGCTGTTTGGGCGATTATGGCGTCGCCAATGAGATTTTGTCTTCTTAGTGTTTCCAATCAGAAGTCTTTTTTAGTTTATGGTGTTTCTAATCAAAGTACTTCTTAAATGGTGGGTTTCCCACCAATGCGTCTTTTCATGATGGAGGCTCCAATGAGAGCCGGTCTTGCTCAACTCCCCTCCATGACGGGGGACTTGACTAGTAGCGTCGCATGTAATTCTCATAACCATGCGCGTTGTGTTCGGTCAGTGTTGTGAAGGTTAGGTGTAGCATGGTTTTGAGTGGGTCATCTGGCTTGTGTTCTTTGACTATCTTGATGACTTATTTACGACAGATGTATTATGGCTTGTCGTCCATGGATGCTTTATGGTGTGGTTGCGTCGAATTTCTCGTCGCACTAGTTTTATGACGTGTTTTCGCTAGACACTTGATCACATGTTCTCGCCAGATTTGTTTTGTATTGTTTTTCTTTAGATAATCCAGGGCACGTATGAATTGTTTTTTCTTTAGGTAATCAAGGGTTTGCTTTTTCCGGAATTCTTATCTCGAGTTTTCTAGATGTCCAATGAGCTGGGAGTATTCTTACATTCTCGAACAATATTTGAACAAAAAAAAATGCTTTTAATATATAATTATATGAAGGATAAATTAATCCAATAATGATAAATTTATCAATTTTATTTAATGTATATTATTTTAACCATTTATTTTTGTTTAATTGTTAAATTTAAGTATCCTCGTTATTATGCTTTATACATCACAAATTGTCTAACATTTGGTTAATATTTTACTCAAGATTTTTATTGCTACAGTGTTTTTACTTGTACCAAACTGGGATAGTTTTATCTTACATTTTTATTTTACAATCTGAAATGTTTTAATGGCTATATTCATTTCTATTATATCTGAAGAACTATTATGATTAATTCTTGTTTATCCATATTCATCCAAGTTGTGTATTAAAAGTTTCTTTTCCAATTTAAAATCTAGTTTTTATCTTATTATTTAAGATCATAAAATGAGATTTTTTTAATATATAGATTAATAAGAATTAGTTCAATGAAATATGAGTCATGAAGTCGATGCAATTTTTAAAAAAATCCATACATTTTAAATTAATTACATAAAAAAGAATAGTATATAATGAACATATTGATATTCGTTATATACATTCAACATAAATAGATATGCATCATAAAATTGTCAGAATTAGTGAGAAAAATTGTGTTTGATATAATAAACAAATTGACCCTGAGAAGAAAAAAATAGTATATATAGATGCATATCGCAGATAAAAATAATATATTATAAAATATAAATAGTAAGTAAGTATAAATAGTAATATAAATAGTAAAAATTTCAAATTTTTCGAAAAAGTTCTATTTTATTCTACTATTTTATCCATTTTGATAAAATTTAATACCCGTAGCTATTATATTTGATCTTCAGTTATTTTATTACCACATGTCAGATTTTCTTAATTTTCTTAATTTCAAAATTTCGATATTAAAAAAATATATAAGCAAATATTTATAATAGTATTATAGAACCAATTGTAGCAACATTAATAATATATACTATAAAACTACCGCATATATGAAAAGAAACTTTTGTGTATTAGTGAACTGTAAATGGTTTTTACATTGCAAATACATTTTACAAATTTTCTAATTTTAGGTAAATTTTTGTTTCAGTGATTGCAATTTATGATTATTATGCAGACAAAGAAGATGAATTAAGTTTTCAAGAAAGCTCAGTTATATACGTTCTAAAAAAAAATGATGATGGTTGGTGGGAGGGTGTGATGGAGGGAATTACAGGATTATTTCCAGGAAATTATGTTGAACATTGTGTATAAATTCTATATCGTGTGATACTTGAATAAAAAAATTCACAAAACTTAAAATATTTTAAAAAATTTTAAGTAAAATATCTTATTCGTGCAAATGTATATATATATATATATATATATATATTTAATTTTCAAAGCTGAATAAAATATTTTGAATTATTAAAATTAATAATATTTAATATACCATTCTTTTTTTTTTAATTTATATAAAAATAACATAATATAATAAGAGAATTTAATTAAATATGTAATTATTTTATAAACATTGTTTCATATTAATTTCTAAACGCATAACAGTTATTGCAACAGCAATAATTGAAAATAAGATAAATAAATTGGAAAATTTAATTCAAAGAAAGCGTGTAAACAGCTGGAAAAGTTTTTCATGTATTAATAAATTATTGAAATTAAATACTGAAATCATTTTAAAAAGAAATATTTTATCGATTCTGATTAATTTACCATATATTTTCTTATTCAAATTTATAACTGTGACATTGTCAATTTATTGATTTTTAATTAAATCTATTATAAATTGCATCCAGTTTGATATAAATAAGTACTTCTATTACATTATAATTCGAAAATTATAAAATTTATAATAAAAATAGCATAAAAATTGTAATTTAGTATCTTACTCTTTTCAGTTATGGAATCAATTTTTTTGGATATTTATCACCATTTTACCGCGTAAAAATAATATTAAAATCCTCTAAGATATATCTAATACTTAATCTCTTAAGAATTTAAAACATTGTTCCAAATAAAAATGTTCATTTTATATTACACAATTATTTTTTCCAATTTTTAAAATTGTTTTTTATTTATTTTATAATTTATTTCATTATAAACATAAATTATGTTATTTTTATTTGTTTGTAGTTAATTCAATTTTATTCTTATTCTTATTCTTATTTATTAGCTTATAGCTATTTATTCTTATGATGTATTATTTAAATGTATGAATTTAATTTATTAAAATATTTAATAAATGTATTTATACATGTATTTGGTTTATTAAGCATAATTTATTCATTATAATTTTATTGACACTTCATATATCAATCATTTACATATAAATATTTTCGTTTTTATATTTATTATTTCTGCACTCGCAGAAATATTATGCTTTTCAATATATTTATTATTAATTACTTTTACTTTTATTAGTGATTTTTTTTAATTTATTTTAAGTGCTAAGTTTTTCTTTTTAATTAGACAAATACTGCTGCTATTCATTAAATTATGTTTCATTTAATAATGTAACTTCAACAAAATAATATTAGAAATACATTTTTTGAAAAATACAATATGCTTTTCTCTCAATTATGATAACATTATAATTAAAATCGATTAACATATTAAATGTAACCAATTTTCTTAAAATGCATAATTCAGCATAAAAAGTATATATTTTAAAAAATATACGATATATTTAGAAAATATAAAATGAAAAGTGATATAACTTTCTACTTATTACGAATATATTCTTACAAAATATATTAAAACTATCTTTGTTTGTAAATTCTATTTCTTTGGATATTTAAAGATAACTAGACTGACAAAAAAGAAATTTTTATAAGTAAATATTAATTTTGTTAGTTAAAAATTAAGGAATATACATATATTTACAGTGATTACTTAAATGTTTACGGGGTTTATTTTTTAATATTTTTTAAATTTCTTAAATTCATAAATTTTCTAAATATATATTTTTTTAAACTGAAAAAAAATCATAAGACAATTTTTATTAAACAAAATATTCTTTTTATTATCATTTAATTTAATATTAATATAAATAATATTAATGAACTACCTATGTCAACGGCTATCATATATTTAATTACAATTAGTTAATATTTAGGATTGAATCACCTAACCTAAATAAAAAGGGCTATAAAGGACGAGAACGAAAATTTGCTAGGCAAGGATAGCATATTGTATTTGTTACGTCATCGGAACTCGCTCACAACCATTTGGGAATCCTTTCCCAAGGAATTATCCAAGTTCCAAGAAGAATTATGAATTCATTTTTTGCATACATTTGTATACATTTGCATGACATGTGCGTGACAGACGGGGAATCCATGCTCAACATTTAACGGGCCAACTACCGCTGTCTCCAGGAAACCATCAAACACGGATGTTTATGCCCGTGTTGACGTATTAATTATAAATATAATATTATATTTATATATTTTACTATGCCAGTTGTTTTAACTATAAAAATCTAGAAAGGCAGAAGTGAAAAAAATCCGAGAGACGGGTTTATCGACGTTTCTCAGAAGCATGCCACACACTGTATTCCGATTGTACCACAACAATCATTAAAAAAAAAAAAAAAAAAACTACACAAAGTTCCCAAGAACATCAACAGATAGCTAAAACCCTCTTAAACGATTGCACTCAATGGAAATTCATTCCACCCGCTACGCCTCACATGGGACAAAAATGGAAAGCAGGGGTGAAATCCACTAAGTGCCACTTAAGACGCATAATTGGAGAAAAAATATTGACATTTGAAGAAATCACTACGCTGCTTGCCCAAATTGAAGCAATCCTCAATACAAGGCCATTAAAACTAATACGCAATGACTCTGAAGACCATTCAGCACTACCGAGACATTCGTAATAGTAAACCCGCTTACTACCTTCCGAAAACCATCTCTTAAAAAATTTTCAATTTCAGGATTAACCCGCTGGAAGTTTATACAACAACGTGTGCAACAATTTCGGACACAGTAGTCGATGCATTACCTGCAACAGTTATCGATTTCAAAATGGCACCACCCACGGAATGACATCCAAGTTGATTCACTGGTGCTCATCACCGACGAACAATTATCGCCTTGCAAATAGCCACTTGCCAGAGTAATTCACCCTGACGAAGAACCAGAGTCGCCACATTAAAAATTGCGTCAACCACTATGGTTCGAGCAATTCAGAAACTTGCAGTTCTACCAATCCAAGAGAAATAAAAGGGAATCATCAACTACATTGCTAATTGCGGACAGAATGTTTAGGATTGGAGCACCTAGCAATAAAATTTCAATTTTCACAAAATTGTAATCTTTATAACTCATAATGTCATAATATTTCACTACGAAAATTCTCTGTAAAAATTAACGCCTTTGCCTAAGAAAGTCCTGCAATGTATCCGCATAGAAACTACGGAGAAGTCTCCAACCGGCAAAGGCTTGTCTTCCAACAATTGACAGAAATTTTTGGAACTGAAAATCTAACGGCACACGGAATTTTTCGGCATAGCAACACTAGAGGTATTACCGTCATGCTTAACGACAAGAGCTCGCATATATTAAAGGCAGCGCGTGTCGAAGCAAATCAGTCTTGTTGAGTGAGTCTAACAGAAATAGTGCAAGTCACATCCAAGCGAAGTTCTACACGTCTGTCTACGGGAATCCGTGCAAGGTACTCCATTTATTGATTTTCAATTTATTGCTGTACAGGCGCAAATCGCTCGCAGTGAGCCTCTGCAACTTGATTATTATCAGACTGCTATGAGGGCGTCGCTATTGGTCATGTTCCTTCAGCAAGGATAATACCATTTGTTGCCACCAAGCGCAAATCGCTCGCGATAAGCCCTCTGCAACTTAATTCTCATCAGACCGCTACGAGAGCGCCGTCATCAACTTGTGCCGCCAGCAAGATAATTAATATTATTGCTACCAGGTGCAAATCAGTGGATAATTATCATTATCCTATATGACGCAATCGCTCACAATTTACCTACTGCGATACTGATCCAAATATATCGCTAAAGAGCTCTACCATCGTTCGCGCGTCTCCAGCGAACCAAATTCTCATATCTACTGAGGAGAGGCGCTGCTACTAATAATACACCTACAGAGAAGAGAGAATTTCCGTAATACTGCTACAAGGGTGCTACGACTTGTCACACGCCCGCAGATAAGACCAATCTCACCTTGCATACCCGGACGACGCCTTGTAGTTTCTCTGCCATTTGTCACAATCACACCACGAGCTCAACAATACTCACATTTACTGGTGAAAGATTCATCAATTGTGACTTAACCTTAAATAAAAGTGACGAAAACCAATTGTGCTTATACTGAATTGATGCATTAACCTCTCACTCATCCCCTCCCCCCTTTCCATTAGTAAAACGGTGTTATGGCCTAATCTGACCAGCTTGGCTCCTGAACACTGAATGGCTGGAATTCCAAACATTCAATAATTAAATTCTGCTTAAATATAAAAACTCTTACAATCATCAACTTGCAGGATTTTAATTAATAATAAATTACAGTTATTTAACAATTATTGTTCAATTAATAAATTGTTACTCAATATATTATAGTATAAAAGAAAGTCCATGTTTAAAAAAATCGATGAACTTTAAAATATGTAGCTACTCAGTGATTGACTAGCCATCTAAAATCTTCAAACTAAGATAAAATAGTTTTTTATACTTTTAAAATACAATGTCTATTTCAGATTTTTTTGAATGATTTATCTTTGACACTTTAACGGATGATATGTATTTTGCTTAATTTTAATCTTATTTGTTATGGTTTACTTATATGAATCATTCTGCTATTACAATAGTATAACTACGATTTAATAAAATTAAAAAGGATTATACACATATAACTTTTAATAGTTGATCGATACTTTAAATAGAACTTTATGTGCGAATATATGTTCTTGATAGTGTTTCTAATAGTTCATATAATTACAAAGATTTTCATTCTTCTTTGTCTATAGACTTGCATATTTATATACTTTATATACTTCCATATACCTATATAAAACTTTGTTGTACTATAGGTTTTATAGTTGAACATATTTGTAAATTATATATATTTTTTAATTATCGTTAGTAAATTACATATTATGAAACTAAATTTTGGAATCAATATTATTCTTCAATGATTGAAGATCGAAAGTATTTTAAGCCCAAAACTATTATCAATATCGTAATATTTTAATGTGCACATATTTATATAATTCTAATAAACTGAAATAACTATAAAATTTAAATTAATGTGGAATGGAATTTTTACATTTTGCTTAGCGAAAAATGTATGAAAAATCAACCAAAAATGTTCATATATTTAAAAAATTTGTTTTAATAATTCTGTGTTTAATTAATTATAATAATATTGAACAATTTATAGATAGAAAATTAACACGATTATATTTCTTTTCGTTAATAATCATACATATAATTTAATTATTGAATATACATTATTTAATAAGTATAAAGTTTTTCTTTCAGATCCAAATAATTTCAATACGAAATATATTAATTTTCAACATTTTTACTATGAAATAAATTTAAAATACGAGTTTGCATTTATTTTTTATATTGTAATCCACTTTGTTAAAAATTTTAAACATATATATTAATTTGGCTATGTTGTCCATCTGTCTGGGATCAGACTAAAAACCTCCTTAGATGGTGTGTGGTGGTGTTGCTGGCAAATGAAGGGACAGTGCAATTATTCAAGACTACCTTTAATGTTTATCTTTGTTTCTTTATTAAATATAATAATAATAAATAATTAATTATGAAGTATAAATAATATAATACATTAAATATAAAGTTTCCTTTATTGTTACGTATGTATGTATTCTTCTTTTGTTGTATAATGAATAAATGCTATCTTAGCAATTAAATTTGTTGTATAATGAATAAATGCTATCTTAGCATACATTAAATTGTTGATGTATGTGTTATACTTTGGTGCCGCGCCTATGATACGTTGGTCTTAGTAGTATGGTTTATGCCGAGCCTTTGATACGTCGGTCTTAGTAGTATGGTTGATGCCGAGCCTATGATACGTTGGTCTTATCCATAATATGTTTTAATAGTGATATGATTAATGCCGAGCCTATGTTACATCGGTCTTGTCTTATGTATGAGTTGCTTCAATATATTTTATGTTTCACTATTGTCTTATAGTCACTAATACTTTATTAATAATTTTAGAATAAATGTCACTATTTCTTTGTAGATTATTACTTAATTGATTATTAATTATATATCTTCAAACTGTGGTTTATGAAGATGTGGTCGAAAATATATAGTGCGTATTATAATGATTGTGTAATGTTAATAGACTGAGACACACTGACTACTGCGCGTGAAGCGCAGCCCTTAAATACTATAGCACTAATTCTCCAAAGCTGATGTTTGTTACCATGACGATATTGCTCGTGACGTCATCATGACAAAGCCTGGAACGTTCGTTGCTAGTATTTTGTTTAAATAACTGAATTGCGCTTTCATACCTCTCCCACTTTTGACTTTCAATTTTTTATCCGTAACACCATCGTATAATGTTTACCGTATTTTCATTTTATATAAATGCACCATTTGAAAGTCAGACTACAATAATTTCAGTTAGTTTAGAAAAATAGATCGTTTTATTCCACAAAACTTCTCTATACTTATTATAGATTGTCCAATTCTCATTATATTAATCATTTATATTTTTTTTATTTATATCATATGTCATCACTAAACTCACATATTTACAAGTTCTATACTTTTAATATGGCTAATAATCACAATATATAATTGAGAAACTGACCATTAACAAAAAACTATTTTGTCTAAAATCTGAAATTGTTATGATAAGGATTGCTGTTGATATTTGGAATTTCTTAGATTTTAATTTTTGAAGCTTATCTATATGAAGATTATCAATATAAAGAATTAATTATAGAGATAATATTCGAATCTCTCCATTTTTAATATTATGGCTAATATTTTTATTTCTTTTTTCTTTTTATATATCTTTTTTATCTACGGATAATTTCCTTGAAAAAAAATAAAGACTATGAAGAATGAATAATTGATAAATTTTACTTTATAAGGCTTAAACATAAAACCAATACATAATTATCGAAAGCATTGATTGAGATAAAAACTCAATATAAAATTTAGAAATTGATATTTATAGTATTTTTCATGGTTCAAAGGGTTTTATAGTATTTTTAATTAAATGTTTCTATTCAATTCACATATTTACTTTAAATATTAAATATAAAATTTTAAAACTATTTGTGTTAAATAAAATTCAATGAAACCAAAGTAATCAGTACATATAATTTAACGATTAAATTTGTTTTCAATTAAAATTTGAATTTATCATTAACTTAATATATCGATATTATTTTTTAATGCTTAGATTTCTTAATTTTATAATATATTTAATACGGATCTTTCAATCTGTATTAAGGACATTTATATGTCATTAGGTTTGTTGCATGTCTCTTACAATCTAATTGCTTTATATAATAAGATTTCATATATATATAATCTAAGAATATGATTTTTTTTTAATTTTAAAAGAATTTTTTTAAAGAAAAAGATGAAAAATGTATATGTTAAAACATTAATAAAAATATATAATTCAACATTTATTTAATATTTTCCATTGTCCATAAATTAAATAGTAATAATAATAATAGTAATAGCACCATTAATAACCCAACATCTTGTAGAACTTTCCATTGAAATAGCGCAGAGGATCAATATATTTACTCATTATATACTTATTGCGCATGCGAGAACAACATAGAATGCGTTTTAGTTCGTAAATTAAAGTTTATATTTATTTTAATAATTGATTCACACTTTATTTTTTTTGATATTTTAGTACATTGACAAATAATAATATTTATAAATTGAATATAATAATATTTATACATAAAATTTCAATCAATTTGATTTAGATTTTGTAATTAAAAGTTTTATAAATACATTATTTGAATATATTATAAAATTATATAGTTTTATGTATACATTATATATATAGATAATTTTAAACGAGCATAAATTAATATCAATAATTATCTGATACAGTTTCTATACAATAAATTATTTTAATCATTCACTAGATTTATTTGTTTACCTAACCAAGAAAAAAAATTATGCAAATTTAATATTTAATAAATTACATTAATATTGTTTTTAATATATAAGTATCTATTTATATCTTATTTATGAACAAGCTATATAAATTCAAAAATCTATGTATTTCTTCTAACATACTTTTCAAACATACCGTATAAGAAAAAAGAAAGAAATTTTTTTAACTAATATAATACAGCCATGAAAAATTGTATTATTAAATTAATTATAAAAGTTTCAAATCAATTAATTGAAGACCAAACAATTATTTGTAATGAAAATTGGAGCATTGCTCAACTTAAAGAACACTTATCAATTGTTTATCCAAATAACCCGGTAAGCAGTGCAATTATTTTGTATATTTAAAAAATTACAATTTTCTATAATAATTTGTACTTTATAATCTATAAAACACATATTTTATATACCACACTATATTATTATATACTTATATTATCACTTTATATGAAATAAAATAATTTATTATAAAATTGTTAAAAATATTACTTGTTTTAATTTATGTATTATTTGTTTAAATATTGTCGATATTAATTGACTGAAGATGATAAATTCAAAGAAAATATGATTATATTTATTTAATCTAAAAATATTGTATAAAAATTTTATATTTTAACTAATGTTAAAAATATAATGTTATGTATAATGTTATATAAATTTATTAGCAGATGCATCTGTACAAAAAAGTTTAGTAAATATCAATAAGAAATAAATCTAATAGCGTGTTTCCCACAAACTATCTAATAGTTGTGTTTAACATGTAATTAATTCTTTAGTAAGAATTTTTTATAATTTAATATGTTAGCTTTATTTATCAGTCTATATAAGTTCTTGCCTAAAATTATTTTAATTCACTGATTTGAATTACAATATTTAAAAAATCTAAGAAATTCTTAATATATATTTCTGTATAATTTTGTGTAATTTAATTTGATCTGAAAGAGATTATTTTGGTATTGATCAAATTTTTGTTTTTGAAGTTCATTTACTTATACTTGTAGTATCATTCATTTATTAAGAAATAAAATATATTAAATATTATCTGATTACTCATATTATTAATCTTATCATCTAAGATATTTAAAATAAAAAAATATTTACCAAATACATAGTTTCATTTATGATTGTTTACTAATCTTATTTTTTCATTACTTGGCCTTGTTGAGTATAGTTAATAAACCAATTTACCAATGAATTGTGTATAATTTATACACTGAAAATTTTATTTTATCAAACAATAAATTATTTAAATAGTTATTATAATTGTTTATTATTTAATTTTAATTACTTTTCTCATTTTTAAATTTCTTAGTAATAAATATAGAAGGGAATTAAAATAGTAAACATATTCTTATTATATAATATATACAATTTTTTGCTTATGGCTTGTACATTATTGTATTTACTAAGTATGATATTTAATGTATCCCAAAGTTTTGATTAAAAATAGAAATTTTATTTTTGTATAAATCAGTTATATTTTTATTAAAAATTGTAGTAAAGACTAAATTTTTTCAATTTTATTGCCAATGATAAAATTCATTAGCTATTAACAAACTGTTTATTCATTCGCTTGAATTTTTATAATTCCCAATTTTAATTTTTTAATTAAAACAGTTTTTAAAATTGATTATGTAAATTATATATAAATATTTGCCAAGCAAATGTTATATTAATACATATTTATTTTATTTTACAGAAACCTATAAATCAAAATCTTTTTTATTGTGGTCAATTGCTTAGTAACTCAAAGTGTCTAAAGAATATTTTTCAGGATGATGAAAATAATGAAAAAATATATATCCTTTATTTAATATTGAACTTAAGTTTGAATAATTTATCAAGAAATTTGGAAATAAAACATATTGATGACAATGAAAAATCTAAGTCTATGATAAAGCTACATTCATGCTGGGAAAGAATTATACCAACATATGAATTTTATTGCCATTACAGTTATTTGAATGAAAACCAAATAGTTTGGATTAAACAAGCTTATGAATATTATCTATCTTATTACATGCAATTGTAAGTATACAAGTCACAAATTTTTATAAAATTGTGTTTATAAAATGCAAAATCTATGAAGAATAATATATTTTTCGATAATTTTATAATTTATGTTTTATCCTATTTTTAATAAAGGCTTTAAATTTGACTTATAATTATGGTAAATAATTTATAAATTCTAATAAAAAATATATGACCATATCTTAGATTAAATTATTGAGAATAAAACAATTACTTTTTATTCTTACAAATTCATGAATTTTCTCAATTTTATTGATCTTGTAATAATTGTTACTATATGTTACCATCACAAATAATTATTTGAAAATTTGTATCATTTATTGAAGATTTTATGATTTCATGTATCATGTATTGTATTTATGATGGATATTCATCATTTATTTCTCACTTCAGGGAATGATTAATTTTTAATAACTTAAGGTTTTATTAGTTATATGAATTTATTTCTATTTGTTATAAATGATTTGCTTTTGTTATATTGTTTTAATTTACTATCAATTAGTTTTGATAATATAAAAGATAAATCACAGGTTATTTACGTTAAAATTAACCTAATCATACTACAGTTATTGGAAAATTCTTACAAAGATCCCTTTGCTCTCATGATCAATCCAATATTTGTAATGATGAATCTTATATAAAATTTTACTTTGATTGAATTACTAAGTTACATACTATTTAAAAAAATACTATTTTATTTTAATTTTGTTTAATTAACTTTATGATTTTATATAATATATTAGTTTATTTGACAGACAAACTTTGTTTTGTAGATATAAAATAATTTTATAAAGTGTTTGTATATATCAGGTTACTTACACTCTATATATTTTATATATGATCTTTATTTTTTTGTAGAAAGATTATCTAATTGTATCTCTATATATTTATATGTGGACTTGCCACGTGTAAAAACATTTAAAATTGAAGTATATGAAAATTTTAGATATCCTTATAAGAATTTTTTAGTTAATGAAGAGGTACCTATCAGTTATTATAATGTAATTTACTTGAAAATTGCGTCTGTTTATTAAAAATTTTTTTTTATTTTTAGCAAAAAAATTAAAGTAAAATTAAAAAAAATTATATGTTATTTTAAAGTATATTAGAGGTGTTTTATATTTATTGTAATAAAATTTCTATAGGTTCAGATGCACTAGCATTAACACATATAATCATTAAAATACTTTTAATATTCTTAAAACTTATTATTACTTCAAATAAATTGTTGTGTATCCTGACAGATTTTTCAAATATAAAGTTGTTAGTCTTTTTAAATAAACTTATTTGTTGTTTTGAAATATGTAATGGTTTTGAATTTATTTGCACCTGTTCTTCTCTGAATACGTATATATCATTTTGATATTTGAAATGTTTAGTATAAAAAGTGGATTATATTAAAAAAAATTTTAAATTCTAAAATAACATAATTTAGTTTGAAGGTTAGATTTTATAAAAAAAATTGTAATATATTCAAATAACATATATTCGTGACACAAATAGATATCTTAGTTGTGTTATCTTTTATTCCATGTAATATATTTTGTACATATCTCTAACTATTGTTCAGGATTGACGCACCCAACAATAAAGTTTTATTCCATGAAATTCAAAGTCATAATTCGCTATGAAAATTTTCGGTAAACGTTAAAGCTTTACACTTATCCGCATAGTAACTAAGGAAGAATCTAGAACCTTCCAAGGCTTACTTTCCCAGAATTTGACAGAATTTCCAAGAATTGTAAACTCTAAATCTACGAAATTATATATAAAGAGCAACACATGAAGCACATCAGTCTTGTTGAGTAATTCAAAGTTTAATAGTGCAAGTCATAGCAGTTAAAAGTTCTGCACGTCTGACTATGGTAATCCGTGCAAGGTATGCTCATTTGTTTATTGCTGGGCAGCTAATGGTGCGCCCTCCGCAACTTGACTCTTCTCAGACCTCATTGAGGACGACAGTCTAGTCTGGCATCACCGGCAAGCTTTATATGTCATTTATTATTATTGCGGCTCAGCGCCAACATTATTGTCAGACCGCTGAAGAGGCCCCCGATACTACCTGGTAGCCCCGGCTATACTATCATTACCGCGACACAGCGTCGACATTATCGGTCAGGCCTCTACAATTTGACTATTGGCAGACCGCTAAAGAGGGCGCGGATATTGTCTGATCCTCCCACCCCGCAATTTATAGCTAACGAGAGTGTCTATTGGCCACGAGTCTCTCGCGAGCTTAGCTCCCATAATTACTGTTACTTTTCGCTGGTACAATAAAGCGCCCACAGTATAAAAGACCAGTCTCGCCTTGCACTCTCGAAAGACGTTCCACAGTTTATTGCCAACTGTTAGAATCAGGACGAGCTCAAAAATTCTCACAAAGACCGGTAACAACAACTAGGAATTTAACATAACCTGATTGATGCGTTAATCTCTAATTTATCGCTCCCACTCCACTATTAAACCGGCGATATGGTCTAATCCAACCACCTTGATCTTCGGATCATTCTGGTGGCTGATATTCTAAACAACTACATAACAAATATTCATTAAAAACATCATACAAACTCAGACTGATTGTATAATGTGAAATTTTAAATACTTAATATGCACTAAACATGCGTCAATCCAACTAACAATTTTTACAATAATTTTCTTATACATTGATTTCCAGTGATTAGACTCCGATACTATTCAATATAGAATAAAAAGAAAATATAAATTGTAAAACATTCAAAGACCAAAGAACTTATGACTACTACTATTCAGTGCAACATTATTACGTTCTTTTTAAAAATATTCCATTTGTTAAATGTTTATTTGCTCCGTTCTAGTTTCTACGCTGACAACAAAAACTAAAATTTATCTCTTTTGAAATATTTATATCATTTGTCATTGATTTAACTTTTTAATTTTCAATAGTTATTTAACAGTGATTATTCAAAAATTGAAAAATAGTTTATGCAGCATTGAACTTGAAATGAAAAATTTGCACATAAATTTAAAATTATTCGTTTTTATGATCCTTAATATAATATATTAACCAAAAATGCTTTTTTTCATTATGCTATGTATAATATTATATGCTATTTATTATATAATTAAAAGATTTATAAAGCTATATATTATATTATATTATAAATGTGTTTCAAAATAATATTATTTTCAGGGTTACCACACAAGGTTCTGATTTTTCACAATTATTTTGGAACTTTCAAAAATTTGATATCACTTCGCATAATGTAATTAGTAATGAAAATCAACGTCAGCAAATGATTTTATATCAAGCTGATGTTGACTTAACTAATTTTAATAACGAGAATAATAATGCTAATGGTAGAGATGATATTTTTCTAGGAAATAATAGAGATTGGTTAGATAATTTTTATGTGCTTTCAAGAATAGTAATTTTATTTAGTATAGTATATTTCTATTCATCTCCACTCAGATTTATTATCGTCACATTTTCGGGTTTCTTAATATACCTGTAAGTATTTATTATAATATACATTTTTTCTTATACTAATTATGCAAAAAAAAATTTATTTTTATTCCAAAATTGAGTGATATATTGACAACTTGTCTCATAGATTCTTAATTCCAGTATATTTTTTATACTTAGTAACACGTGAAAAATGTTAATGGCGAAAAAATAATATATGTTTGATTGGAATTGGAGCATTTTCCAAGAATTTGAACATTGGGAAATATATAAGCCTTCTAACTCTTGTATCTTTAAACATTGATTCCGCGAATTCTCGAATATTCTACGCCTTCTTTTCGATTATTTTCGAGTGTTTTACAATATTTCCGCATGTATTTAATTATTGAACAAATGCGCTAACCCTTCCACTTGCCCGCAATCCTCCCACCGAACATCTGGGAGTTTAATCTAATTATAGACAATGTTCATCTTACACGATAATTAAATATAATAGAAACTAAAAGTGATGCTTTAAGACATCAAATGGGAAAAAAATTATCCACATAAAATTAATAAAATCAAAAAAGAAATAAAAAATAAAAAATAAAAGGGAAACTAACAAACGGCAGGTGGTTGCTATGATAAACTTGTAAAAAGTTAAACTAAAAAAGTACTTTTTGTAGTAAAGGTAAGAGAGTGTCATCGTGAATATAATCGTTTGATTTACAATATCTTCGTAGTAAATATATTTTTTATGCCACGATTTTTACAATGGTTTATGAATATGAAGATTAATTAAAAATTTTGTTAATATGTTTACATATACAATAATTAGCAAATTTTATTTGGAAAATGAACTTTGTGTAACTTTCTATTCACATCATTGTTTGCTAATTTTTACATTTTAATTGTATTTACAATAATGGGTTTCGTATTAATAATGTCATACGCAAAATTAATTATATTGTTTTTCATAATTGTATTTATTTTACTTTCTAGATTTTATTTATTTTTTAACCTCCTACGTGTAACTTCACAATTTTTTAGTTAAGAATTTTTTAATTGCCCATTAAAAATTCGTTAATTTTATCCATTTGATTTTTATTGATTTTATCCAATTGATATTATCCATAATAGGTAAATATATATTCGCTTTAAAATTTTTCCGATATATTCTTGTATATAAAAAGAAATTTAACTTAAAAAATTGGCTTGTAAATACTTGAATATGTTGTTAAATTATGTCAAACTATGTAATTCAGATATTTTTCATATTTTTACAAATATTAACAAATTTTAAGCAATATTGTACGTTATTTTTTAATTATGTAGGACAGTATTTTTGAACTATACGTGCTGAAATATTTCAAACCTATAGTTTTTTCTATTTCGAACATTCATATATTTTGTATTAGTCATTGATTGCTTAATTATTTATTAGTTTAATAATGCTAATAAATGGAAGATACCGAAGATTGTTTATAATTACATATAAATAAAATAAGATTATTTTATTAAAATGTGTTATTGATTTATTCTCAAATTAATTTTAAATAATTTAAGTCATAATCACATTTCTAAATTATTTTAATTTTTTTATATTAGCCGATTTGGTTATTACGTAATTAATTATTTTAAATGGCCGTTGAGCATTTGTTCAAATCTATTGAAGTAATGAAAATACGAGTAATGAAAAGACGAGAAATCTCATGAAATTGAATAAAATACCATTGAAATATTGTTAATGATTAAAGTATGGTATTGACCATAAATGCCAAGCGTCTCCCATATATTAATAACGCAACATTATTACAATGAGGGATGAATTTTAATTTTTGTCTTATTTACAATATTTGTAAAATATAATCAAACGCAATGAAATAATTTTTTAAAGTAGATAAAGAATTTAATTAAATTTTTTGTGCACTATTGTTACGGATTGAAGCAGTTGAAAGCGAAATACAAAAGTGGTAGAGGTATGAGCTCCCGGGCAGTTTGTTTATAAAAACAAGCCTGCGAGTTCAAGAAATTTTTCTACGCTAAAAACTCGAATGTTACGGATTGAAGCAGTTGAAAGCGAAATACAAAAGTGGGAGAGGTATGAGCTCCCGGGCAGTTTGTTTATAAACACAAGCCAGCGAATTCAAGAAATTTTTCTACGCTAAAAACTCGAATATATGGTTACAATTCCGAATAGTAATGCCGGTGAACCTTCCAAGGCTATGCCCTATTGACGCCACGACAAATATCGCCATAGCAACAGACACCGGATCGCTACCGGCGCCTAAAACTGCCACGAGAATATTTAAGGGTTGCGATTGCCGCGCAGCGCTTAGTCTTTGTCTCAATCCAGTCTAGTAACAATTACGCAGTCAACACGACGAGCTCACTATTCATCTTCAAGCTTCTCTCTACAGTCATCACTTACTGTAGCGGTACACGTACGTAATGCTCAACTAGTAAGTAATCTGAAAAGCCAATAGTGACGCCACATTATCAAAATCGTTAATTAAGCAGAAACGAATAACGCGCTAGTGCTAACATAATCGAGAGTGAAATTATCAAAATCATACTACATATATTAACAATATTAATAAGCAACCGGTCTCCTTTAGAAAGCTTCGGTACGACAGTGGCAGCTCTTACGCACCGATACTAAAGCAGCAGCGACCCGGTCTCACTTAGATGGTTCGGTACGACAGCGGCGGCTCTCATCCATACTACAACTGCATCGACTCTTACGCACCGACACTAAGGCAGCAGCGATCCGGTGAGTAGACACACTCTCCTCAGTATGTAAACCAATTGAAGAAACTTCCCCAAATTATTCACTCACACCTTCATTCATACACTTTATAATCATTCACTATTTATTATATTATTGTATTTTCAATAAAGGAAAGACAAGTAACATTGCATGTAGTATTGAATAATTGCATTGCCCCTTCCACTTGCCAGCAACACCTCCACCCACCATCAAAGGGAGGTTTTCAGTCTAATTCCAGACAACTATATATAAATTCCGCTATTTATTATTAATATTTTAATACATAGCTGTATTCAAAATGAAAGACACTTATAGTATTAATTTATAATTATAAGATACATTATATATTTTAGTCAATATATACGGTAAATATTATTATTAAAGTTGTTTTAATATAAAAATGTTTGTATACCTTAATTTTATTTATGCCGATATATACTTTTTACATAAGAAATATAAATGAAAAACTTGTCAATATATTTTTTCATTTATACATTATTCTTTTAGCTACCATCAAGGATTTTTTAATACTCGTCCATTCGTGATCATAGATAATAATAATGCTTATGTAGAAAACAATAATCAAATAGAACAGGATGAAAATCATATACCCGGAATACGTCCACATCAGTTAACGAACAGAAACGAGTTTTCAATCGGTACCTATTACAACGAGAATATTCAAAGACCTGGTGTACTATCATTCACCTGGATATTTTTTAGTTCGTTTTTCGCTTCTTTAGTTCCTGATCACCCAAACATTGGTTAAGGCAATTACGTTTTTAGTTAAATATATAATGTAATACAATGTTATTTTTTATGTGAAAATGGTAATAAAAGAAATTAAAATTTTTGAAACTAATAATAATAGTTTTAATTTATGGTATAATTTTATGTTATAATAAAATTTAATTAATAATTTTTCAAAATAATGTATATAAAATATTTTGATTTTTTTATTTCAATGCAGTATGACATTTATGTTCTCTAATGATCAAATAAATAGAAATGAACTATTGAATATTATACACATATATTGTAAGAAAACGTTTATGTGAGTAAAACTTTTCATTATAATAGATATAAACGAATGGATTTATGTAAATACGTTTATATTATCTCGTTCATTTGTGACTCAGGCAGTTAATTATAAATCAAAGCAATCATATAAAAATACACATGCATAAATACAAGTTCCACAAAAATAGAATTAACAAAGTTAAATAAAGCAGTTAATTTTATTATCGTACAAACATTAATGGTTTAATAATCAAATTCCTTACCTTGTATTCAAATAATTCTAAAATTCATTATGATTTTACTATTATTAAATAAATTAATATATATTATAAAATAATTATAAAAAGTGTTTAAAATGCATTAGATACCAAACTATGATGCCAATGCGTAAATATAAAATTTCTAGCACATGCAAGTATTAAAAGAACAGAAAAGAGAGAAGGTTTGTGATTAAAATTAAAATGCAACTGTCGCATTTCTTTCAACCCTTGTAATATTTGTCAAGTTGATGTTTGGAATTGAAGCAGCTTCCTTCAAGAAGACTGTTCACTTCAAACACATACTGAAGATATGTCCCTGGAACATTGAATCCAGCAGACTGACTCACAAGCAATATAACTTCAAGAACATTCATTGTTTTACCACCTTAGATCAAATTACCAGAATCATGGCTATGCCAACCAACGTTAGATGACAAACAAAGTCAACAAGAAACAAAATCCTGTACAACATTACTGACAATGACACTTAAACCATAATATCACTGGATAAATTACTAAGAACGACTGCCCTTTTTTCAAATTCATCACCCGCTCAAGGAGAATATATGAGACGTCGTCTGCTTTCCACATATCAAGGCAAGCATTAGAAAAGTTAAGAGCCTTTTGGATAAAGGCAACACAAAATGCATATTTTTCTCACGAACTAAAAATTGGCTGCGTATGTTGACAATCAAGGAATAATTAGAGTTGGCGGAAGACTCGACCTCGTCATTGATCATGCACACCAACGAACTCTCCATAGAGGCACACAACTTACATTAGATAACAATATTGGATCTGTTCAAGAATCCGAAAACAATTTCTTGCCACGACTTCCCACGGTCGCTGGACACTCGAGAAGGTCAATACATCTGGAAAACTCTAGTGAATAGTTAGCTTATTTATTCTTGCTTATCTAAAAACGTGCTCGTGCTTTCCAGTGCAGTAAAACTTTATGTGTTTATTGCCAAAAAAACTCCAACGTATATTCTGAACGAATATCAGATGTGCGTCAAGTATCGAGTACAAACATTTCTTAAATTTCGCTTCAACTCAAAACCCCGCACGTGCGACCACAAGCAATAGGCGTACGTGCGCACTCGGCTTTTTAAGACAATCCTTGCATTGTTCTTAACTACGCCGCATCTAGTCGATCGCATTGGAAGATCGACCACGCCCAAGAAGACCCTTCGTCTAGCCAAGGCCCAGAGAAGGAAGAGGTGACCAATAGTAAAAGTTCCATTCTGACACTTTCTGACATGTACATTCCACTTTCCACTTTCTGACACTTTCCCGATTAGCATATTCGGGACTGAGCCCGGAAGGAAGTGGAAATGAAGGCGTGCATAATCCGTTGTGCTACCCAAGGTGAACCTCTGATTGGATAATTAAAAGAAGAAGGGGTCCCAAAGGAAACTGGATTAGTGAACTGTTCGGGATTGATGCAGTCCCATGAATTTCAAACAAAAGAAAAGTCATACGCGCTGTGCGGCGTACCGCATGTGCGCCTAGGATGACCTGCACGTGCGGATCGAGACGGGTACTTGAGCAAAATGTTTACAAACAAAACTCGGCAAGCGCGAGCAAGTTTACAATCTAAAATATAATTTACTGCCAGCCCTCACAAAAAAGGGACGCCTACTAAACTTATAGAGGCTTCGATTTCTCACGCCAAAAGAAAATTTCTGGAAGAGACGCGCATCGACACTGTTGCCGGCGCTGCAGACGCGGCATGCACATTTAAACGCAACACGCCATGAGGCGACGCTCATTTGTAATATCACTTCGCGCTCACTCAAGCGTAACTGCCGCTTAGTGTATAGTATACTGTTAAGACGACGCGTGGCCATATAATCGGGATCATAGTTAAAATTACTCGCGTGCCTACGAATAAGAAATCGGCAGATTAGATAGTGATTACAGTGAAGCCAATAGAATAGTAGTCAAGGAAACATGAATTAAACAGCAATCTTTGCAGACTTTGTCAACACTTTATGAGGTACCTATTTTTATATTAATATATAAACTTGTCACATCTAGCACAAGAAACCTGGGCAATTTCGCATCCCCTGACGCAATCGACAGGTGATGGACACTTGGTCGTGCATTCTCTGAAATAAACACCAAGTGATTAGCACGTCGTCGTGCATGCCTGAAATAATCATCAAGTGATGAGCACGTGGTCGTGCATGTCCTGAAATAGTCACCAGGTGATGAGCACTCTCTAAATAGTCAACTTAATGACACAGTAAGTCAAGGCCAGACTCCAATATATCGACCGATCAACAGTAAGGACATTTTCCAGAAATCTTGAAGATTGCTAAGGTTCTACAAAATGCAACTCGTCGTTCCGACTTTTTTTATCAAGGCCAGTTCGACGATTTGATGCCGTTGAGAACTCAGAGACCACGGGTGTTGTGTGGTAGCGATGACAGGTCACTAGTGGAAAGGATATTATAATAATACAATAAAGATATGGCTGAAGTATATGCTTTTTATTCTGTTATTTATTAATGACAAGGTTGACTAGTATTACTATTATTACTTGTAGAATTAAATTCTTGATTGGAATGATGTGTTGCGTAGACAATTATACAATAACCTATGCAGCTTGATTATTGAATACGAATGGCGAATGGCGCGAAGTTTCGTTCGTCGACACTAGCGCCTTTTGAACGAGCACGTGTGTGGTTGAGGTTATCAATGCGGCTTTATGATTGAAAGATAGCGCAAGTGGTGCGAAACTGGATTGCCTACACTTGTGTTGAGTTTTGCTTACTTTCGTAAGCTTCTGAACTTGAACTAAGGTGAGGGTTACGAAGTGAGATGCCCTTGGCGGGCGCGAAACTGGACGACGTGTACTGGAATTTATTCAGCACTGTCGTTTTCAAAGTAGCTTCTTCGTCCTTAGTGCTTGTCGATGTAATACTCTGAATCTCAATATATATATAATTATTGTAGTAGATACTACTTAATATCCAAAGAAGTGTAAGTCGTTCCCGAAATAGCGCTAAATGGACTTCCGCTAAAACTTAACTGAGTATGAAATGTCTCGAGGGTTTAAAATTGAGAGAGTATTACTAAAAGAGTGATATCAAAAATACTAATAAGCAATAGATATCAAAAAACTGAGAGACACTTCGAAAAGAGTAATATCACGAAAATACTACTAACTGAAAACTATCCAGAGTAAATATCAAGACAGTTAAATATCACGAGTGATAAGGATTAAGAGAGTTAAGTACCAAGAATAAATGAGTATTGAAAATTGCACCCCTTAAATACATTTGCTGACCATGAATTTTACTTGAACCCCTTCCCTTATTCTCTGTCTAATTAGAGACTCCTCCCTTATAGTGCGAGGGCAGCGCCTCTTTTGGCTTCGGAGTTAATTAAGGGCCTAGTCGTCTCTGGGTCTTCATGATGGGCAGATCTCTCACTGCTGCTGCCGCATGCGACAGCATATAGGCAGCGGAAAGGAGGGCATCGCTGACACATCTGGTGATAGCATTGCAACTTGTCGACAGTGGGAAGGGAAGGAAGGTCCGCATGCAGTAATGCTTGATATAGTTACCGAGCGGAACGAAGATGCAGATGTCTAAACTATAGGCTTTCCCGTGTTTATGGTATTGTTTTTCCAGATGTTTTATGATTGACACTGACAAAAAATAATAAATGTTCTTACATTCTCGAACAGTCACCATCAAGGAGCAATCACATGGATGATATAAGACATGGAGTGCTTCAGTAGTGCCCTTAACGGTAGCGCTTACAATCAGGGAGCTCAGTCTGCCCGTGGCCTTCTTGTCAGGAGGAGCTCATGACTGAAGCACCGTAGGAGCGCCTTTGAAGCGTCTCTAGTGACATGAGATTGGGTGTGCCAAATGTTTAACGACTTGGAAAGAGTTCGCACAATTTTGAACAACTACCCTTGTGTCTAAAAATAGAATACCGGATGACGAGGGCCAAATATCTAAAGTTAGGTGGAAACTCCCAGATGGTTGATGGGAAGATTGCGGGCAAGTGGACATGATAGTGCATGTATTCAATAATAAATAGTTTTGTTATTTGTTGTAGTTTATTGCGATAATTGCATTAGTGTATTATAATGATTTTTAGTGGATGTTTGAATGTTTTCGTTTCTTGACTTTTGTATTGCTATTGCCACAGATCGGTAAGGTACGTTGCATTTACAGATAGAAGGTCGTAACCTTTTCGTCCTCTATATGTAATGCACGTGGTGGTTATACACGTAGAAGAACAAGGTCGGAAACCCCCGTGCTTCCTTGTGTAGTGGCACGTGGCATTAGCTTGAGTTTACTTTGTTATTGGCTTATTGTGTACCTTGTAGGTTCTCTGCAGATGTGCTCTTGGTGGCACTTCATTTCACTTATGATTATGTTGTGCTCTGTGCACCACTGTTTTCTTGGTCTCTTTTCCTTTTCTTGCACTGTTTCGTGTGTATAATTTGAATTACACTTATCTTGCACTTGTTATGAGTTGAATATGACTAGCCTTTGCCTCTTAATTCTTGGCCTTTACTGTGTATGTCGAAATT